TGATACAGGGCTTGAGAAACCGGTATAATATCTCGGTGAAGCAGCGTTATATGAATTTTCTAAATTGTAAACGTTTTCGTAAAGCTTGAAACGTCTAAGTATTTTATATGTAAACTGAATTCACCAATATTTAACCAGTTTCAATGATGCTTGCTGTTAACTTTCCAAATCAACGATATTTCTATGCGATTTTTTAATACTCGCACGTAAAGGAAGAGGAAAGTAGCGGGAGATAAAAACTCTGGGAGTTTGAATGTACGACTAGTGAAGAGATTCAGCTGATCAATACGCATCTCAACAGTACGTAGCGAATTGTACATCTGGAGAATAAAGCAATACTAAAAAAAAAAGTATGAAACGACAAACCAAAATGAATTATTACATGCACACCTGCGTTCGTCTTTGTATCTTTCCAAAGCGGATACTCTTATCCTTGTTTGTTAAAATGCAATATATTTGTTAATCTACAATCACTTATTCATCATTGCCGAAAATATAAATAATTATTTATTTATATTTATTTAATGAAGATAATATAAGAGTATCGCTTTACACATGCGCAATGTCATTGCATTGAGATAGCCTTATCTCAAATATTTCAGTTGTGTATAGTAGTGTCGGAATTGTACAAACACATGAATATTAGGTTATCGGAAAGTTTCTCTGGATTCTTGCCTTTTATTCTTATCGAATAAAATTCCAAGAAACTTTTTGATCAACCCAATATATTAATACACTATAATATATATTATGAATATATAAGGCGTCCAATCATAATCCAAATTAGACTATAATTTGTCAGTGAGTAGGTGAGAATGCGATAAAAAGCGGCTAAGAATCTTCTACATTTCCGAAGAAGCCATGAAATAAAAAAAAATACTAAATTTAATTTTTAAAAAATATTTGATTATTGAATTGAACGTCTATATTTCTAGATAAACAGCGTAAAGATGCAGCTGTCTATCATCTATTCTGCATCACTCGTGTAAAATACTATCCCTATAAAGTTGTAAAAATACGTTTCTCAGATCAAAAGTGTTATACTTACACTACGCGTTCCGTTGTGCGAGAGTCCTTCTATTTCCTCGTCTACTCCAACGCTACAAATATAATAAGAATAATTTAAATAGCAACAAAACGCGATAAATTGCAATTCGCAATCTAATTATGTGCAGGTGATTTACTTACGGAATATTGAACCAACTTAAAAATTGCGTCGTCGCACCGCCCTGTAGAATTACCGTCAATATGACGATCAAGCTCGTCGTGGTCAGCATGGCCTGTCTGGCGTCCGACACGGTATTTCTAATGGCAAGGGCGAAACTCATGGCACCACGTAATCCAGCGAAAAATAGCATGTGCTGATAATTCAATGATATCTTCGGCTTTCGCGCCAGATTCAGGATGAAAGACAATGGATAAACATTGGCCGCACGTCCCAGCAACGCGCATAACTGAACGCAATGCGTTAAGGATCAGCTCTGGTATTTTAAATTCTACTTAAAATGATTATTTCTGACGGTTGAATAATATATTGAATTATGTAACATATGTACATATGTAAAAGGATACAAATCCTGCGAAGATAAAGCCGGGATCGAAATGATGTTTCGGGAAGGTAAACATCGAAACTCCGATGTAGCTAAATATGAAATTCTCGGCTAGGAAATTTAGCAGCTCAAACAGCTGTTTCGTACGTTGGCGCGAATCCAGGCTCAGATTGTTGTACGTATAATGAGCTTGACAGATTCCGCAGAATAGAACAGCGACCACGCCTGAAATTTCATAAGAAATCCATTAGATCGACAGAAAGAAAAGTTCTGTTTTTAAATAAAGACACTGATTCTAATTTTTCCACAAAAGAATTAAAGAAAATTTCTACGGTTTTTGATTGATAACTGTTTCTGACATTGCAATCTTGTTGCAGATGTTAAATATGACGGATCACCTGTAAGATCGGCGGCTTCGGCGATTAAAAACGTGCTGTAAGACATTAAGACGAACAACGCCGACTCTAAGAGAGGGAAGTCTCGCACTCTGGTGAACTTGGTCAATAACGCGGTGATGCACCCCATCGTGGCGCCGATAAAGAGAGACAGGCTGAATATGCCTACGAAGTCTCCGAACGCTTGGAAGAACGCCACCGTCTCGAAACCACCTGATCCTGACTGATATCGCTCCGCATAGTTTTGTATCGAGCTGATGAGAAACGTAAGTGCCAAGATTTATATTTTCAATATTACACTTGCATTAAATTCGTAACTGTTAAAAGTCGTTATAAATCTTTGTAACATTGGATTCTTAGGTACAGGATTTATCAATCGTATATCGAAGCATTGGAAAAATTATGAGAAACATGCATCGTCGAATTTCGCAACAAGATAAAGCTAACAAATTTACAGATCAAAGTAAGTTTCATTCTTATGAAATACCATGTACACTCACCCACTAAGAACAATGGCAACCGCATCGTTCAGCACACTTTCGCCGAACACCAGAGCGTAGAGATTAACGTCTACGTGCAGGTCGTTGAAGATGGATATTATTGTCAACGGATCCGTAGGAGATATCAGAGCGCCAAAGTATAACGTGTCCAGAAACGTGAACGACGTGGAAAGGTGCGGTATCAATTGTACAAAAGCGTACATC